ATATATATCCTCTTTCTTTCTAAAAAACTAAAAAAAAATTGGCTGGGCATGGTGGCACATGCCTATAATCCCAGCACTTGGGAGGCCGAAGCAGGAGGATTGCTGTGAGTTCAAGGCCAGCCTGAACTACATAGCAAGACCCTATTTTCCAAAACAAAAAAATCTAAAAAGATTATGTAATGTATTTTATTGAAGTCTGAATTTGACAACCACTAAAGTAGCCATCAAAGTTGGATAAAATATGGGCTCTTTGCTCTAGTTTTTATTGACCATGTATGATCTTTCATGTAATAGGAATATAAGTGCTTTTACTCCAAGGCAATTAGGAGGAGCAAGTGAAAAGTAAGTGCTAAGTTTTGTTTTGTTTTTTTCTGGTGCTGAGGTTTGAACCTAGAGCCTCATGAATGCTACGTACATACCCTACCACTGAGCTACACTCCCCGCCCAAAATATAATTATTTTGTCCTTAAAATTCCAATAACTTGGTCCTTAATACAAAAGCTGTACATTTTCAATTTTCAATGACTGTGATTTTTAAGATCTTCTAAATTTCATTTGTTAACAGTTTCTGAGAACAGCTTCTGAGAAAACTTGAAGACATGTTAGACAAGAACATTCTCATTAAAGAACATTTATCTGCAGATAATCATGTTCAGATATCTGCCCTTTAGAATACCGGCAGTACCAATTAGGTTCAATTTAAATTAATTTGATGGGATGGTTCCTTTGCTAGAAGTGATGACATAATTAACTAGGGCTCATTCCTTATCCAGAAGAAAGGTGAGCTGATTCTAGATTGAAATTAAGGATATGTTCAGTTTGTAATTGCAAAGATATATGAGAACCTACAGTGTTTGTTCTACTGAGTGCTTGGGATTCACCCATCCACAAGAGATGGAAGGGCTCACAGAACACAGGTTGGAGTGCCTGAGAAGGAATTCCCAGATGAACAATAGGAGAAAGGTATTCCAGGCAGAGGAAATAGCGCATGGAACACCACAGTTAATGTAATAACAAACACACACACACTAAGTTCCCTTTGCCAATATCTGAAGTATTAGACATATATATATATATATATTTTTTTTTTTTCTGTACCAAGGATCAAACCTGGGTCCTTGTGCTTGTGAGGTAGGTGGCAGAACCACTGAGCTAAATCCCTGGGCCATGAATTATTTTCTTAATGTTCAAAGATACCCCATGAAGGTGTTATTGATTCCAATTGACTGGTGAGAAAACAAACTTTGCTAACTTGGCTGAGCCCAGATTTGTTCTGATTCCGGGGTCTGCACTCTTGGTCGTGAAGCCGTTTGCCTCTGTTTTATTAACTGAGTTTAAAATTTGAGGTGGGGGAGCTACAAGACATCAGACCAGAGAACTACGCAAGGCCTAATATAACCCTTTGTTTGATTCTTAGGAAGTTACTTTTGGCCACAGTTTTCATCAGTAGACCTGTTTAAGTCCCCCAGGATGAGACACAGGACCATCTGCCTTTGAATCCACCCTCCTCTCTCCCACATCGCACTGTCCAGGTTCTACATCAAGAGAGTCCAGGCCTTCAAAGGAGGCCAGCTGTGTGAGTTAGTTCAGTTAAGTAAAGTGGAAGTTCAGTGAAATATCAGCAAATTCTAAAGTAGAGATCAAAAGAGGGAAACGAAAATGTATATGAGTATAAAATGAAGGTAGGTAATAGGAGAAAGTCTGAAAGTAGTTACTTCTTCGGTCTGACACCATCTGTCCCCTGCTACCTCCACAAAACATAAAATGGGGTAATTTTCATGCTGAAAATTTTGTTAAAGGTGATGTCTATCTATAGCCTGCAAAGCTCTTTATTTTAAAGATTACCAATAAGTGCCAGGGATGTAGCTCAGTGGCACTGCACCTGCCTGGCAAGTACAAGGTCCTGAGTTCAATTCCCAGTATCCCCCCAAAAAATTTAACAATAAATATTGAATATTTAGAAATGGTGGAAGGGCCGGGCACATAGATCAGTGGGAGAGCTTTTCCCTTCCATGCACAGGCTCTTGGTTCAATCCCAGTACCACAAATTAAATAGATGGGTAGATGGATGGACAGATAGACAAGACAGATTTTACGTTCTGGGCTAGCTCTGCCATCTGGAGCACACTGTTTGTCTAGTCATCCCAGCATTCCTGTTTGCCAGCCAGGAGAGAACACAGGGCAAACACCTTTAAGATGATTCTAGACATTGTCTGCATCACTTCTGTTCATATCCCATTAGCCTCTTAGTCACACACGGCACACATGGCTGCAGGGAAATGGGGGAATTTGTCTTTGAAGCAGTGTGCCTCACCAAAACTTTGGGGTCACTATAACTAACAGAAAGAAAGGGAGCCCACACCTCACCCATGCCAGGGAAGTACTTTCCCACTGTTCCACACCCCTGCCGTAAGAGATGGAGCATGTCTCGGGGAGGAGGGGCAATATGTAAACAAATAAGAACAGTGTTATTTCTGTTTTCTCCTCTGTTGTGGCAATCTGGAGACAGTGGTGTCACGAGATAGAGGAGGGTTATCTCACCGATCCTACCAATGGAGCAGAATTTCTTGCCTTTCCTTGAACAGAAAATACATTTTGTTGAAGGGACCTGTCAAAACTCCAAGCTTCATTATGTTCTCAGAGTATGACCTTTTCTATTCTGGCTAATAAAACTTGGGTCTGGAATTGTCTTACAAAGTCCAAAAATTAATAGAACCAGTCAGAAAATACTTCTTTGACCATTGTTCTTGTTACTATTGCCATGCAACAAAATGGCATTAAGTAAGAAAACATTTTATTTGCTCAGGATTTTATGGAGCAGGAAGTTTGGGGATATTCTTGCTTGGGATCTCACATGGTGACAGGTGTCCATGGTGGCTACTGTCGCCTGAAGGCTCCACTGCGCTGGGCATCCTAGAAACTTAACTCACGAGGCTGGCAGTTAATGCTGACTCATAGCTGAGCTCACTCCCAGGCTCGTACAGGTGGCCTCTTCACCTCCACAGCCTAAGGCTAGGGGACTGCTGGGCTTCTTACCAGGCAGTTGCCTTTCCCAGAATGAGCCTCCCAGAGGAACCTTACCCCGCCCACTTCCCCTTCCCCTTTGGACCTTTTCTTCCTATTTCACGTTATCATTTATTCATTTTAATCCTTATTTACACTTTCAGTTTCTCACACCGGAGAAACTATTCGGTATTTACACACGTGTCCTGAAAACAGTGAAACTTAAAAGCTCTAGAACAATTTGTTTTTAAAATTGCCAAAAGTGGGACCCAGCATCATTCATACTCACAA